AGATGACAACAAAAGAGCCATGTTACATTAATAATAATAATAATAATAATAATAATAATAATTCCATACACTTATCTAGAGCTTTTCTGGACATTCCACTCAAAGCACCTTACAGGTAATAGGGACTCCCCTCCACCACCACCAATGAGCACCATTCACCTGGATGATGAAACAGCAGCTAGAGAGCGCCAGAACACTCACCACAAACCAGTTCATAGATGGGTTTTATTAAGAGGCCATGATTGGTAAAGACCAATGGGAAATTTGGCCAGTACGCTGGGGTTACACCCCTACTCTTTTCAAGAAATGCCCTGGGATTTTTAAGGACCGCAGAGAGTCAGGACCTCGGTTTTACATCAGACGTACAGCACCTTTTTTACAGTACGGTGTTCCCGTCACTTTAGTGGGGCATTAGGACCCACAAAGACCGCAGGGTGAGCACCCCCTACTGGCCCCACTAACACCAATTCCAGCAGCAACCTAAGTTTTTCCCAGGAGGTCTCCCATTCACGTACTGACCAGGCTCACACCTGCTGAGCTTCAGTGGGTTGGTAGTTGTGAGTTGCAGGGTGACATTGCTGCTGGCTACATTAACCCTTCTGTATGAACTGGGATTTTCAAAGTGTGTCAGAATAGTGTGAATCAAATTGCGCAGGCTCGAGGAAAGCCATCCTCTTGTGTTGGCATGAAGGTAGTGGCAGAATAGCCAAGTTGGTTCAAATGCAGACCACAATTGAGAAGAAATAGTGTTGGTTTACAGGTTTGTCTGTGTTTTTCAAAAAAGAATCCTTAAAAGGATTTCACACAGAAAAGATTGTACAACATATTGTAAAGGATAAACAAACATTAAACAGGCCTCATTAAAATTTCTAGGTCAATAGAGGGCTCACTGATTAATTATCAAAGCCTTTTTCTATGACCACTTACAAAGGGAGGTTGTTGTGTTTGGCCTCTTCTGTCTGATTTTACTCACAGCTCTAGTGCACTGAGCATCTGTGGGGCATGTTGGCTAGACCAGAGGCACTGCTGAAGAACTGCAGCATTTAAAACACCTGATGGGGCCAATGTACAGGGGCTGTGATGTGTGAGCCAGGCCCCTCTCCCTCCCACCTCCCTTTTCACAGAGCCACATTCATTATCAATAATTAATCAACCTTCGCCACACCGAAGCTTCAGCTTTCGTTTGAGGGGAAGATCAAAGAGCCTACCTTGAGATAAAAATCATTACTCATTTTCTCAGTCAGCAGTGGAATAATAATGAGCTTTCCTGCATTTATAAAGCGCAGGCATGATTTTTCCCCTCGTTCTCTTTCTGCTATTAATATTGTTCATCTGCTTAAAGTTGAGACCGTATGAAGCCGTTCTGTGTCTGTCTTTTCTCTGTACATTTTTGTTTAAATGTAGTAGTTTTTAAGACAGATACTTTTACCCAGTATTGCAAAATTTTTGGATTCTAAAGTTCTACAAAATAAATCAATTTTTTTTCTACCAGATCTCCAGATCAAATGGAGATGAAGAAAAGGAATATTTGCCATGCATTCTATATGATTGTTTAACATAACCTGAACATAAATGTGCACTTAGGGTGTGAAAGCATAATGGCAGTTAAATTGGACCCATGGGATAGAATTCTAGATGAAGAGAACTAGTACAGCTTTCCTGCCTATAGATAGACTGTTCTAAAGCTCCAAAAGCATGTCACTGGCCAATTTACTTAGCTCCCTTTTCTACTTAAAATTAAGACTTGTGTATATGCTGTCGGAATGGAATGTAACAAGAAAGTTGTACATTTATAATTTGTTGAAAATCACTTGGCTCCTTCCCCATAAAGAGTAGTCAGTATTTGTATGCCAGACCTGTCATTTATTTTTAGGTTCTCTGTCATGAATATACTCTCTGTTAATATACTTTCTGCCATTTTTTCACTTTCTGCCCACAAGTGTTTGCATTCTGCTTGTAAATGAAAAGGATCGATTGGCAGTTACATTTTCAAGCTTTCTTTTTTCCTCAAAATCAGATGAAATATTTTTCTTCATTACTTCATTGTCATATTGCTCGCTCCATCTGAAATGCAACTGGAAATTAGGGACTTAATGGTACCAAGACTTTGAAATTGAGGGAAGCAGACTTTGTTGCCTTCTTTGTCGTTTTTTCTTAATCTTCTTCTTTGTTGTTTTTTTTTCTTAATCTTCCTTGTCTTAGTCTTCTGTTTTTCATGCCCATACTGCATTTGGTAACCATTCATAAGACTAGGTTTGTTAGAGGGAAAAGAGTAAAATACCTGAGTCAAAGGTAGAGAAGCTGATATTTGAATGTGTGAACTTCCCATTAGAAGCCCAGAGCCTTAATCACTACATTGGAACCCCTTTATATACAGGGCAAAGGGTGGGGGAAGCCGAACTTTTCTGCTCAAAGACAGTGCGCCCATTCTGTCTTTCTGTAATACTGTACTGTAGCATGTGCATGACGAAAAATTCTAGTATTGCAATGAAGAAAGGAAAATGGAAAAACTGGCATTTTAAAAACACTTGTTAGGTGTTTTGAACAAAATAGAATCATTTCCCTGTTTTGGGGATGGCGATGTAAAATCAGTAATGATTTCCTAAAAGGCCTGTAGAGCCCTGTGAACATAAGTTTCTTATGCACAGTTTCTCGCAATTACCTCTTACAAATCTTTTGAGAAGCTTTTTACACAGAACTTCTAGACAGCAAGTGATCTCTTTTGTGGTTTCGTTTCCAAAGTCTCGTTGATCCGCACTGACAAATGATTCACCTTTTTGTTTACTTACTTAGAGTGATTGAAACCATGAAACTCAGAATCCATTGGGAATTTTTGTGTGCAGTACTTTCAAGATAATAGCCAGGAAGCTGAGCAAGCACTATACCTTGCTATAACACTAACTGAGTTTGTTGTTACGCTGTAATGGGGATTGTGTGTCTTTGTCATGCTGTCACTATATATTGCAAGTGACACCACAGCACAACTTGTTCAGGTGGCTTTTTATTCATCATGTGGCAAAAGGCTTTTCTTCTCGGGGGGGGGGGGGGGGGGGGAGATTTCTTCAACGCTGACAACTGAATCTGTCAGAAAGAGATTTATTTATCAGCCTGGGGATCCTTTGGAAATTTCATTACTGTTTGGTTGTATTGAGCACAACAACTGATTACATTTTATCTGGGAAGTTGTCGTTATATACTGAATTACATTCAGTTCATAATGCCCTACAACTTGAAACAATCAAATCAATACAATCTGGCCCATTCTCCAAACACCAGTCCTAATCAAGACATAATTAGAAATGTTTGTCCACATTTAGCAAATAAATTTTACCAAATAAAGTGGGAATGTACCTTGCATGACTAAGTTATGAACTTACTTTCCAGCAGGGAGACCACATAATTGGGATGTGGATGTTGTTGAACATAAGGACATAAAAAGAATGTAAAAACAGTTGCTAACGATTAGGAGCTGTTTGACTCATCAAGCTAAGTTGGATTTCAGTACCTAATTGAACCAAGGCTCTCATCCAAACATTTCATGAAAGACGCAAGGTTATCAGCACTAACATGGCAAGATAGCTTGTTGCAGACTCCCACAAGTAATTTCTGTTGCTAAAAAAGGTTTCTATAATTGATCTATTGTTGTCTGTGTGGGCTGTAAGTGATTTTTGCTTGAGAGTTCAGAACTTAATGCTGTAGGTTAATTTTTTATGAAGCTATATTATAAAATACTTAAAGCATATTAAACTTGTAGGAATTCTTATCAATAATTCGACCATTATCATGCTCTACATTTTTTAATTTCCTTTTTACCTAAGTGAAGAACTTCTCTAATAACATTTTCACATCACAGTAAACTCATAGGTAAAAATATTGACTGAAGGATGACTAGGACTCTAAAACTCCACAGGTAATGTGTGGCTAGTTTCAGGAGTGGGACTCAGATAGACTGCCATCCCCTTCAGTGGTCACTAATCACAGAAAACTGGTAGAAGAAGTAGAATCCGCATTTTAATCCCTCACACCACTACCTTCATCTGAGCCTCAGACCTACTAGACAATGGGATGGGATTAGACTAAGAGTATTTTAGTGGAACACAACCACATGCTCTTCAAGTTTTTGTTTGCTGCTCACTAAGAAACAGCAGATAAATCATTTGTTTGGTCCTAAAGGATTTTTACCTTTTGTATTTTGATTTGCCGTTGGCTTGTCATTTTCTTTGTGGCTGTGGGTAGGGTTCTTTGCATTTTTATCAAGTGAAGGGATACCGCTTGTTTGTGTTTCTCCACTTTGTCCGGGCAGTCAAAAATGACAGAAATAAAAGTGACAAATTGAAACTAGTGTGCCCTTCAAATAGACCGTAGGAAGCAGCTGGGTCTCCATCTGATTGATGCTGTGATGAAGGCAATGTGATAGCTAACACTGAGGAACGGCACTGGTAGATACTGTATGTGTCCAGAAATGTGTTGAACCAGCTTCACTTTAATGGGTGAATCAGTATCTTCTTATATCTTAAACACCTGAGAAAGAAAAATAAAAAAAGACATGGATATTAGTATTTTATAGGTAAGAGGAGAGTTTAAAGCCCCTTTTGTTTCAGGTTATTTTTTGCTTTACAGACCAGTGTATATACAAAATGGGTACAGGAAAGAAAAATCGATAGTGGTGCTTCTTTGTGAACAACAAATCAGAAAACAGAAACAAAATAACATTGCTAAACATTTTTTTTTAAGTCAGCTATTGAAAGATTCATCTCAATATCCCTTAATTTGATTAACTTTAGTCTGGCATCTTCATTTGTGATACTAGTTCTATGAGACCCCACTGCTTTTAGTTGAGTTAAACTGTCATATTGTATATTCTCACTATCATCTTTATCATTATCATTAGTAATGTTTCCAATATCTAAAATGTACAGTTTTGTCATGCTTCTCCAGTACTAGAACATTACAGTGTTTTGTGCTTTTCTGATCCTGTTCTAATCTCTTTGTCTCCACAGCTGTCTGCCTAGTCTTGGGCTGTATGATTTTCCCTGATGGTTGGGACTCGGAGGTGGTGAGGGACATGTGTGGGGAAGAGACTGGCAAATACACCCTGGGAAACTGCTCTGTGCGCTGGGCATATATCCTGGCGATCATCGGCATTCTGGATGCCCTCATCCTCTCCTTCCTCGCTTTTGTTTTGGGCAACAGGCAAAATGACCTGTTGCAGGAGGAGCTGAAGGCTGACAACAAAGGTAGGGCATGCTGTGGCTTCTGTGTGGAAGAGTCATTTCGGCAACTGGGCAAAATTATATCATGTTGTATTGGTAAAGGATCAATAAGAATGACTCCAGCGGTCCAACTGTTGGTTGAACAGGATGCAAACCCACTGATGCAACATAATCAATGCTAAGTGGTGACTTTATCTAATTGTTCTTGACAGACTTAGCTAAGTGTCCAATATGATCCACTATATTATCTCTGCAAGAGTTGCTCCAATGGAATCCTCTCAACTCCACTTCTCTCCAGGTTCAAGATGACTGAATAGGCAATGAATCCAAACTGCTTATAGCTTTTATTTCAATGGTTATACTCTTATCTTCAGCTGTGGATATATAATGACGATCAGCTGTTCTCTGGGTTTTAGGTTATTTTGAAATCATGCTTCGCATAATTTCTTTTGTTTCACTTGATTTTTCGCTGTTGAAACACACCTGATGGTCATAAAGATGAGGATTATTTTACAATGACAAATCCTTTCACTTAGATTGCTATTTGGTGCTGTACTGTATGTTTAAAAGTAAACCATTTTCAATTCTTTGAATATGAAATGTGCTTGGGAATCGATGATCCTGCAACATTTGACATAGAATAAATTCTAAGAACTTTAAAAGATGTAGTAAATGCATTATAGTTTTTGTTCATGTAAAAAAATAAAGACTTTTCTAAATTTCTAACCTGAAAGCGTTACATGTTTATTAAGATGCATGCTTCATTGTGCATTCTGGTTTAGAACACATTCCTTTTTCATGGCAGGCATTTTAAAAGCTGCCATATAAATAAAGTTCTGTTCCATTATGAACAGTACTCATTTTTACCTGGCACACATTTAGAATCATTATAAGCTTTATTAAAAGACACACACACACATCTCTTCAAAAATGTTGTGTTTTATAGCAAGCTTCCTTTATGACTTTATATTGCACTGCAATGAAATCACACAGACCAGGGCCAGAGTAGAGGAAAAGCAATATGTTTTTAAAATAATGGAAGCTTTTTGCTGAGCAAAGATATGCAGAACAAGCTACTTTACCACATCTAGGATCTTAATATAGCAGAGGCTCTTCAATCAAAAATGTACAGTATTTCAGAATGAGAAAACAGGTCCAGTGGCCTCTTCTAAGTATATGCTTGGTCCCTCAATGTGTGTTTTTATGTTCTAATCGTGATTGTGTCAGGACACCAGGAATGTGGTGACTCCACATTCCTGTGAAATATACTCAAGCGCGTTTTAAGGTTATAAACAGTCACCGCTATCGCAGTATTCAGGTTTAAATTATTATGGGTTTCTGTCAGACATAAAAGAATGATGTTAGAAGCTGTGAAATGGAAGTATACAATTATAAATTGGGGAAAAATCTTTAATTCCTACTTTGAGCAATTACTGTATATGCTGACTGAGGTCACATATTGGTGGCTGGTCTTTGGTGGCTGCAACTTGTGTTTCTGTTAACGCATCTTCGTGAAGCACTAAAAATAACACAATGCTGAGTCATTTGACACTTCTTGACCTTCAGTTGTTAAAGAAACATTAGTCACTATGGTTAACCCTTACATTAATAATCTGCATCAAGATCAAGACTAATATACAGTACATGTTTTTTTTAAGTCTGCTGTATTCCAGTTCTTTGTATGCTGCAGAATTTCCCCTTTCAGCCTATTATTAGAACTCAAAGTGTTCTCCTTGCAGATTTATTTTCCTATTACAGAGAGTTATATTCACACATTGCTGACTGCAATAAATTTAAGGTGACTGTGTTTCATAAACTACGATCATAAAAAAGTGCTTCAGTGGGAGTGTACTCCCATTACTCTGTTTTGTGGATCACAGGCCTTTACTTTCCATCACTCAAGTGTTTCACTACAGGGATACGAATACCTTTACCCTTTGGGGCTATTAACTGTATGGTGTGCATCTGTGTAATGCTCAAAATGATATTTAAAATAATTACAATGCCTATATAATTACAGTAACTTCTTATCCTAAGTAAATACGTCCACGTTTATATGCTTCTGTGTTCTTTGAAACAGTTTTTACAGGTAACTACAATGTATCAACATAATTATATATATACACACTATCCCTTGTATATATATATAGTCCCTTGTAAGAAGGACAAAAAATAACTTTCACAAACACTAATGCTTCCTTTCCGGAATCCATGGTTTTAATATTTATACATTTTTTTTCTGCTGTTGGAGGAAGAAGTAGAAATGCTATACAGTTAAATTTAAACATGCAAAATATTAAATTTTGAGCTGCAGACCGTATCAGTATTCATGAATTAGTGATGGTTTCAAATAAACAAAATGCACTTCAAAATTATTTCAGTTCAAGGCAAAAGCATGGAGCTAATAATTAATGATTATTATAATGCTGCTTAAAATGAACATAAAATTGAAGTCAAATAAAACTGTAAAATATTAGTAAGCTTTTTAATTGAGTCGAGTCTCCATAAGAATGGAGATACATATACATAATTCAGGAGTCTGCCTAGTCTTGGTGCCTGATTGTCCCATTTATTTGCACTGAGATCCCAGGAAGGTGGGAATACCTGCAGTACAGTAGATAACTAGGTCTTGGAGTGGGTGATAAAGCATGAGGAAGTCCATAAAGGTGGAATGGTGGAAGGCTGTGCAGACTTCTTCAGAATTGTGATTGGTCCTAATGCCTAATGGGTTCCAATGCAGTGTAATGAGTGTGTGGCATTAAAGGATGCTGTAGCATGTTTATAATGTCTATTAAGGGCATAACTAGAGATGTCAATTCTTAAAGAGCTCAGCAAAGTCAGTTGTTACTTACTGTACATAGAATTGAGCGTAATCTTCTTCATAATGGGCTTGCGAAAAAAATAGTTGACAAAGATTCATTGGAATTTTCATGCTGCTATCGGGACACACATTAATCGTCATATGACAAGGGAAACATAGCTCTTCAATTTTACTTCTGAACTTATTTTCAAGGTATTTTATAGCTGAGGACTTACTGTAGGATACACACCTTATTCGTAATTCAGAAACTGTAATACTTCATGGACATAATGACAAATGCTGGCTTTATTGTCTTTTATTCTAAAGCTGCATTCCAATATGTTATCTCGTCTTTATGGTTTCCTTGTGACACAGCACGTTTTGTCACATCTGCCTCAGAAGATATGGACATCTGGAACACCGAATTCTCTATGATTGGACTAGACACACTGTTCTGAAATTGAAATTTAGATGCCTTTGGCATATCCCTCAAAGCAATGATGCGCTTTTTGGTCTGACTTATTGAACAGTTCTGCTGATTTAGCCATTTCTGCTTTTTGGTTGTTTGGGGGTTTGTTTTTCTTCCATGGTTTTTGTGATGTTTTAACCTTTTGTTTTCATATTCCACATTTTTTATTAGATCTCTGTTTTCAAAAAAGGAAGTGGAGTCCTGCAAGATTGTTACATGTTTTAATAAATGTTTGATTGGTTTGACTGAGAATGTGTGCTTGTCAAAAATGCTGAAGCTATCCAATTCAGGCAGAACATATCTCAACAATAGAATTTAACACCCCTCCACTAGAGCTCCAGCTTTGTAAAAAAAAAGCCTTAAATTAACTACAAGAAGAAACAGTCTAGGGGGCTTCAACATATCATGCATTTAATGCATTCTTTCCAGCACCTACACAACCTTTGCTTTCATGCTGTCTCGAAAGAGGAACCTTATTTCTCCTTGCCCAGTTTAAAAAACTGACTGATTGCTGCTCCCTTGACTATATTCAGCCCTGGAACCCTTAACAAGCAAACTGCCAATTAGCCCTTCAGCAAGATGTTCCAGTGCTTTTTAATTAGCCCCTAAATAAGCAGGCTGGTGTGCTCCAAACTCAGTGACAGAAAGACATCTGAGTTGTCAGCTACTAATATTTATTGCTTTTTTGCAGATATGTTCTCAAAACACACATATCAGTGGCTGAAAAGTGAGGATTTGTGTAGAATTTTTACTGTTCCTTCATTTCTTCAAGTAGATATATTTTAAAATGTTTAAAGCTTATTACTACGGACAATTTAAAGGGCATATACTTCTGAGCACGAGGTGCATGAAAGATTTAAGCAGCTTAAAAGGAGCATTGACATTATCCATTTACAGTACTGGGGTACTAAAGAATAAAATATGAGGTTCTTTTGTAAGAGATGTGCAAGAAATAAACCAAATATTCTGAAATATTTGGTGGTCAAGTAGCAATTTATTTTCTTGGCTTGTACAGATTTCCATTTTAATTTTTATCATCAGGGGTAAAGTAACGCAGATATGGCCAAAGTGTACATCATAATAGCATCTGATTTGGAAATTTTACTTGAGGTTATATGATTAAAAAAATCAGGAAATTTCAAGTGAGGAAAAGAAGCGGGCAGTTTGTAATTCTGAGGTCATCTTTTAGTGTGGCAATTCACAGTCCTGTGTGAGCAGACACTAATACACTGCAGCTCTCCAGGAGATTAGATTCACACCTCTGATGCCCATAAGAAATTGTACCATGGTACATTTATGGTACCAGTACTATGGTATTGTACCCTGGTATTTTTGACAGTACCATAGTACATGTACCATGGTATAAGTACCATGGTACTCGTACTGTATACCATGGTACAATTTCTTATGGGTGCCCACAATTGTGAATTATGAACTTAAAAGGTGTAGTTCGTAGGCTTTGTCTTCTTTGTATTGCTGGTGTATGCATTCTGTGTGATTTACTCTTTGCTTTCTTGGCTAGTACAATTTATTTAACATTATCTATGTATTCTGGGAAAAGGGGCTTTAGAAATAGTATCCAAAGCTGAAACAGAAAAATGGGGCATAAAATAAATATTTTTAAATAAGTCTTCTCCAATCAGTGTTTGAGCTTTGCTTCCTGGTAGGAACCTTTGAACGTTCTTTACAAAACTCCCCTTAACGGTGAAAGAAGCAAATCTTTAGCAAATGAGTTTGCATAATAAATCATTGATA